AAAAACAACAACTTACTTACACATAGTAAGAAATGGTTATAAAAACTGAAACAGAAGTGAAACTAGTAATAGGAAAGAGGAGAAATAAAAAGCGATACTTATTAGTAAATTAATTAGTAATTAATTAGTAAAGTTGTCCAAATGAAGTTCTTAGCAATGCATATTACTAATCAAAAATTACGTTTTGATATATTTACGGTAGGAAATTTACAAAATATCTTCATGGAACATGATCTTTATTTAATATCCTAATGATTTTTGGCATAAAAGAAAAATCGATAATCTTGACCCATACAATGTTTTTTTGGCTATTGCTACAAATATACCCCAGCGACTTAAGACTGCTTTTGTGCTCCAGGATCACATGTTTGTTTTGAACTCTTTTGCTTGTAAACAGTGCTTGATCTGTGCATATTTCTACCCTGATTCAGGCAAGATGACTTTTTCACTGAAGAATCATGGTGAATCATTCCATTAATTTACTCTGTTGTACATTATAATGTCTGGAATTCTGTATTGACTAATCAGCTTTCAGTAATGGAATTTTCCATGTTATAAAGTTGCTTTCAGGCCGTTTGGAAATGTAATAGCCACATGTTGCTGTGAGAAGTTACCGGTTCTCCTGAGACGATGCTCTTACAGTTACTAGGCACTAGTGTTTGTATCCTCTCCTCATCATTAGTGTTGCCGCTGGTGAACAGCTTTGATTATTGCAGAGACCAGTATGGTGGAAAGTGAGAGGGTTGTTTGGATACTCTTGACCTGTAACAACCGTACTTTCATCCCCAATCTTACACTGAGCCTTTTAGAGGTACAACCTCCCACCATGTAGCGGTCCTGCTGGCTCAAATCCTGTTTCCTGGCAACACATCTGTTACTTTGCCTCATTTTTGTCTTCCCACATTTTGGTTTCTCCAGATTTGATTCATCACGTCCAGAATGTCGACATGAATGTATAATGAATGTTCCCATAGTCACATGACGCATATTAATGTTTTTTTTTAAACCTGTGAAGGATTTTTTTTTTTTTGTCTGTTTTTATTGAACTTGTTTTTCCTTTTTTTTATTTTCTTTTATATTCAGTTCTTATAATAATCTTACTGTACTGAGTCAAGAACGTATTCCCTCATTTTCTGAATTTTCACTCTGGCCAACCTAAAATCATTCAGGACACACAAAATGTATTATTATTATTATTATTATTATTATTATTATTAAGTATGCCTAGATGTGTTGAACAAACATCTGACTAATCAAGTAAACATAAGTTGCTTCATCCACTAAGTGGTCATCTTGAAATATTATTAACAATATTAAAGTTATGTTTACTTCTTACAAATCATTGAAGATTTTACAGCAAAAAGACTAAAGGGTGTCGTTTTTATGCCGTGATATATATATACGCTGATGCATGAGGTCTAGTTTTGGGTCTCATTGTTTTCAGGGGGCCCTACAAATTGGTGATGCGTTACTGTTGATAATATGTAGCATTCTTCTTTTTTTATATAGCTAATAAAGGAGTGTTGTTTTTCTCCTGCATTGTTTGCTTTATGTCATAAAGTGAGTTGGTCTCTGTGTTTGTGTTGTCCCTGTAGAAATATAAGCCGGGCAGATGTGATGACATTCTGAAGTGGAAGCCGCCCAGCCACAACTCGGTCGATTTCAGACTCAAGATCACCAAAGTCGGCGGGGAGGGGTGAGTCATCGTCACCATGGCAACTGCATTCACTACGCTCAGATCAATGATAAACATCAGAACACATCCGTACAAACGTCCCACAACTCGCACGGAGACAGAGACATCCAGGAGGATTTCTTTATCTCTATGTATGCGCTGATGTGTGAGCGATTATAAAACATTCAGCTCTGAGTCACACGCGTTAGCAACTTTTCGAGTTGCTACTTTTCGGATAGTAATACGCACCAAAATGTGATTTGCGAGGCCCGTTCCTAAACAGACTGGTGACTTTGATTATGTGCGGCTTGACATTTCTCTGTAGCGAAGAAATGTAGCGAAGCATAAAGTGTGAGTTCTCTAATGTTCCTCATTTACGCCTCTCTCAACCCATCTGTCCACTCTGTCCAGACTCGAGATTTTACTGTCCTCAAATGAGTCGGGCTTGTCTTTGAAATGCAGGCGGTCCAGAGGGAGAGTGCTGACCCTTCTGCGAGGACTTTTGTGTACAAAGCAATTGTTTTTATTTCCATGTGTGTAAATCCCGTCAAGAACATGTCCAGATTATGTTTCACCCCAAATTCGAAAAATAAAAAAAAATAAAAATAAACATGTATTTTACGCAAGAACATTTTCTTGACAATTAAGCACTTTTTCCCCCATGAATGCATGGTACTACATTGGGAAAATAACAATGGTTTATTTTATTTTACTGCTTTTAATTTATGCTGATTTTATGATGATCAGAATCATCAACAATAATCTTTACAAGCAAACTCAAAGACGCATGGATGCATTTTAGAGAAAAAAATGTGCTTAATTGTTGCAGTGCAAAATATAATTTCTTTTTGAATATAACTGGGACATGTTTTCATGAGGTTCACCCATACTGTATTGCTTGTTCGTGTTTTGATATTAGATCATCTTGTGGATAATTTTCTGCCTTACACACACAAGATGTATTTCTGCAGATCAGCTAGACGGTGTGCAGTGGAACGGAACAGAACACCACGGTCTCGCGACATGTTTTAGCAACCAGGCTTGTCATCACCATTTGTCCATAATTACGATATTATTAAGACATGCGACTCCAGGAACGAAAACTGTAACAAACAACGGAATAATTTGCACAATGTTACAGAAAACAGAAATGAAACCATTTCTGTCAACCCTGATAAATTTTCATGACATCCATTTCCAATTTCTCACACCTCCCTTGTCATGAGCACACTTCGCTTCCAAAACAACAACACAGTAATCCACAGCAAAAGAAAATATATGTGCAACAAGCTTTTTCTCAACCGATATGAGGAACCTTTATTCTGCTTAATGTCAGTGACTTTGACAGACCAACTTTTTTTGAAGCTTATTTATAGAAATTTGGGTTGCACTTTATTTTAAGGTGTCCTTGTTACAGTGTAATTATACATTTAAGTACTGAGTAATATTAATTAACTATATGTACTTACTATAGGGCTTGGATTAGGGTTACTTGCATGTAATTATGCATAATTCATTGTTATTATAATAGTAAGTACATGTAACATGTGTAACAAGGACACCTTAAAATAAAGTGTTACCGAAATTTGTCTATTGTGTAACAATTTTACTTTAAGCTTAGCAGTTATAAAGAAAATATTTAATACTGTCTGCGGATAGGAGAATGAATCAGGGATCTTAACGGCAAATGCAAGTTTTTACACTAAGCAGCATTAAACTGTAAATTAATAATTTAAATTAATAAATACCTAATAAATTTAAAAAAAGACTTAACCTCTTAACTGTCAACCCCCCCTCCTTTTTGAACATATACATGAAAATGCACTAGCCAAAGGAAAATGGTTGTAATTCATGAACGCTTTGGAATACATACCTAAGGTTGGTCTCTTTTTAAGACGACAATCAGCAGATTATTGTCGTAAAGCATTAAAAAAAAAAAAAGTCTGAAAAAGTTGTAGTGTACTAAGAAATATTGTATATAAAATAAATATTTTACTGAATATTTTGAAATCAAAATTTTCGATGAAACCAAAGCCATATGTGTAGCTATGTTCCAAATTTGAAGTTGTTATCACAAATATTTAGGTTCCTATGAGATTTTGTTTATGTGCTATACCAAAAAAATGGTGACACCCAAACTCACAAATGGATTTTTTTAATGCATTTTCCTGTCAAAAAATTATAAATTTTTGTCACAATATTACTTCTATCACAAAATTGTCACCAGACTCAGGCCATTCCAATAATATGCGTTTTGTCAAGATTAGAAAAGTTTGATTGGAAAATATTGTAGGAAATTTTGTAATTTGACACTTGACACCGCCCACTAGGGGGAGGAGCACGCAGAAAGGATTTAAAGTATCATTCCCGTGTCTGATTTCAAAACAGTTTTCACAGGGTGAATTTTGAGTGTTTAAGCTTTCGATTGATATCTGAATTGGGATGATAACTAAATTGTGTGATTGGGAAAAAAGACAATAAAAAAGGAGTTTATAGGTTACGTAAAAATAAAATCTTATGGTTCTCCATTTTATTAACTTTTTTGTTTGAAAGAAATTTGGTTCTTCTTTGTCATTTTTTTTTTTAGTACATTAAGAAACCAATTACACAGAACTCATTGTTGCATTTAAAAATATGAGACAGCACAGCGGAATGGAAATGAACGCAGAGAACAACAAGATGCATCTCAGATGGCAAAGGTGTCTTTTTGCCACATTTTAATAGAAAAACTATTAAAAATCAATGCATTGAAATGCAGAAACACATTCTGTTTGCTTTCCGTCATGCACTTACATTATGAGGGAAAGAGTTCACCTGTGCAGTGGCAGATTCTGCACCAGGAAGGCTCTGTGCTATCAAAAGATTTGTCAAATGAGATGCATAAAGATCTACATCCATGTGTTTAATGACGTAGCTGATCATAGCGCAGTGTACTTTCATTTCATAAGAATGTTATTGAGCATTCTTTTATTTCACCAGTGAAACATCACTTGAAAGGGAGGCTAGCACTTAAAATGCTGTTTCTACTCTGAACACAAAAAAATGTAGTTTCTGAACCCTGAGGTGAATGCACAGTTTCTACTGTATACTCTCAGTACACTTGAGTGTCCCGCCCCCACACTCTTCTGATTGGGCCATTGGTGTAAAATTGACATTGATGCCCTGCGCAGCAAAAGTTGAACTATTTTTAACACGACAAGCCATTTTCTAAACTAAGAAAGGAAAACGGCAAGACATGCAAGATGCGGTGGAAAAGATGTTCATCTGACGCATGTATACGTAGAGCAGAATTTAAAAATAGCGCAGACAGAATGCATGAACGGAGTGCTGACTCTTGGGGGTAAAGATGGATTCAAAAGGCGGCTTACAAAAACATTTCAAGCACACAAACTGAAAATGAAAAGTGCTCAAAAAATATTATTTATGCTATTATAAAAATTTAAATGATAACGTGAGCAAGTAAACTGGATGTCCACTGGGAATGAATAGATTCTAATGAGCCAATAACTGTGCATGTAAACGTTTCTACATCATCATTAGGATTTTACCCAGAGGATATATTGCTCTAAACTTTGATTAACAGGTTTCAATATTCTCAAGCTTTTTTTATTCCAAATTGATGAGGCAAAAAATGTCCAGCCGGTATGTTAAATATATATTTTCTGAAAGCCAGTGGGCAGTGCGTGTCATCGAAGCATCATAGAGGCCTGGCTTTTCTATAGCAGATGTGTCAGCGAGCGGCTGAGGTTATTAGCAGGGTTACTTCCCTGCCAGGTAACAGAGAAAGATGACATCTCCACCCTCCTCCCACACAGCTCTCTCTCTCTCTCGCTCTTTATCTGTGAGTGCTTTTCCCTCTCACCATGCTCTCTTTATTTGTCGAGAGCTTTGAAATGAGATGGGTAAAATAATAAAAGAACCCCTGACTCTTTGCATAGACGACACTGAATGTTGGAGAGCGGTAATGAGAAGACCTTGGGTTCATTTTGGGCAATTTTTAAGGAAATTAATTGTACTTCACATTTGTGCAGTTTGAAAACAGATAAACATTGCATTAGTCTGGCGGCTCCGCAAACACGCTCCACGTGTTAAAAGCAGCAAGAATGGATTGTTTCAGAACATGTCTCAATAGTCTAGTAACATTTTTGTAAAAAGCCTTTGTTGCCTTGAAACCTAAAAGGGTGAAGCAAAATCAAATCTTCTCCTGCTGAATGTACAGACTCTGTAGTGTTAAAAGCTAAAGCTCAGAAATTGTGTATTAAAGCTTCCTAAATTCATACTATACCTGCATGATCTATAGGCACGAGTCTATTTGGATGCAGTTCCCAGTTCAGTTTCAATGGAGAGAGTGAGATAGACGCTGCTTGTGAAGAGAAAACTCTGCAAAACATGGATATTATCTTTTCCATGTGTCATTACCTGGGTTCCCATCCAGTGTTGTGAATTTAACTTCTGCGCAAAATTGGAATATCGAATAAGCACCGTTTCCATCCACGAGTCAAAGAGAACAAACTCGTCACTTCCTGATAAACTGGCACTAAATATCACTAAGAAAATTAGGAGAAGCCACTGAATATATTAATTTTCATATATAATAAATGATATGCGCCTCAGAGCTAGCAGGCAAAACATAATCAATGCGGTCATTGCTTTTGGAGGTGGATGCCTGCTGTTTGGGAACACAGTCGCGTAAGTCAGGTCTGGGAGGCAATTATACAGAAATACTTGATGACAGACTTTGCTCGTGCATTTCAGAATGACCATAATATTTCAGATGCTGTGTAACGAGTTCGGTCCACTGGTTAGTCAGGTCCCATAGCGCAAAGTCACATGACTTTTTTGATGCGCATGGAGGAATTTATTCGGCAAATGCGTTTCCATCTCCCATTATACGCATTAACCCTCTTTCGCACAAGTCAAAAACCACCTCAAGCGAGCGTAAAAACTTTTTTGCGAATTAAGGGATTTTTTTTTCTCGAAATTTGCCGTTTCCATCACTCATTTATGATGCAGTACTTCAC